GCGGGTCCGTCTTGGAGCCGGCTGGCATTGGCTCTATCAGACACAGGGGAAGCTTCTAGCAGCTTCTCTCAGAAGCCACCCCTGTAGCCCCCCCCACTACCAAAACCTTCCCACACAAACCCAATACATCTGTTGAGGTTGGGGTGTGAGCAAGCAGCTACATGGATGCTTGACTGCAGGCTGGCATCAACCCACAACACCTCAGAAGCCTTTATAAAGAAAACTTTCTGCTAAAGACACACCTGGTTATTTGTGCTGTTTTCTATTGGTTTATCTCTTGATTTAAGAGACAATTGTGCCAATTTAGGCTTCTTTAAGCTACCATAATACAATATTGTATGGCATACAATGCAAATAATAAGATATACCCAACAGAACCAGAACAATCCGTTGATCTTTTCATGATTCAAGAACACTTTATTCACCTTGTTTATCTCAGCATGTCTATTGTCAAGAGCTTCTAAAACCCACAGAGATACATTTCAACCTCTGTTTTCCCCTTCTGGTTCGGTTCATTCTGATTGCATTTCTTGTTCAAGATTCCTCAGTAAGATTGCAGTCTGCCTCAACAAACAGGACACAAGCAGGGCAAAGAGGTGGGAAGGAACAGAGCTTAAAGCCATGACTGCATTTTTTACGCTGTAAGGCCATTTACTTAAGTGTGGGAGAGCATCCCTTGAAGACAGATAGTGACACCAGAGAGGACCACATTCAAATAGCTCAATTTATTCATGAATAAAAGAGGCTCTAACTTCGGCAGCATGAGCTGGATCCAGAGCCTGCCTTTACACCACTAGTCTACTACCTCATGGTAAGCAGCTAGTCATATCCCACCTCCTACCAGCAGCTGCAATAGCTTCATCCAATGCAAGCAGCTGCCATCTCCCTCTCCCTAGCAAGAGCAGCAGTCCCATTCACCCTCCTGCACTTGCCACCGAGAGATGAGGCGTTAGGGAGAGGCTGTAGAGTGTTTCTCGTTGTGCTAGCTTTAGAAACGTGAACTATTGCTGCAGCAAGGGTAGGAGCAGTGGGCAGTAGTTTTTGCTGGAAGAAGCATTATCTCAGCTCTCTCAGGAGCCGATGACATCCGGCTGTTCAAGCACCTCATCTCCTCTGGGAAAAGGTGCCAAAGTGGATGGAAGTGCAGAGCATTAGTATTTTCCCCACTTACATTGATAAGTACTTTACTGTTGTTGCTCATAGCGTGTACAGAATAGAACGGACCCCAAAAACACGTTTTAAAGACTTTTACCTAACAGTTGTGTTTCTCTTTGAATCTTTGAAACAGTGGTAATTCCAGCTAGTTTCCTTTTCAGAAGTCTCTCCTTGCAATGCATAACCACATGAGATGATCAGTAACAGGTGGTAGCATTTATAGTTCTTATGGTTATGTGGCACAAAGTGAGGCTGGCCTATGACCAGGAATTGTTTGTGCCACAATACATAAAGTACATAATGTCTGTGTGAAAGTTTGCTTCCTGTATTTGCTCTAATGCTTAATACGAACGCAGCATGTCCTATATACCCAAGGTACTTTCAGTTCTGCAGATAAAATCTTTATCTCCCCTCCCCTTGTCATTCATTTGCTATATTATGCTCATTCCATTTGCCATCTACTTATCTGAGAAAATATTAAACTAAATGAAGTAATTCTATTGATTTTTGTTGTTTGAATGTCTTTTTTGTAATTTAATGAATTATAGTTGTATCAGTTAAGTGCTTGTTGGAGGTTATTCACTATCAGTTGTTTGGAAAAATGCTGAGGATAAAAGCCTGTATTATTAAGTTAACCATGCTCAACAATCTTAATTCTCATAAATCTGTAAGTAACAAAAAATATTGGTCTTTGGTACAATGTGAAGAGACAGTGTTCTCTTGGAGGTCACTTTAGACTGTACTCACATACATAGCCTTATAAAACTTGTTTGTTCATATGGTAAGTCTCCAAAGAATTTCCTTGTTTATCACTTTTCTTATCTTCTCAGCAAAAGTACAGAGCACACCCAGCATCTGTGGTTGGCACAAATGTTTAAGTAAACTTCTCTGTGCTTATAACTGGCCTTCAACTAGTACTATAGCATTGCTACTGAGACACCATGGAAATTCTGTTCAGATTGTGCTGTATATCAGGAAAAGATTCATTTCTTCTAGCAATTAATATCTAGGATAATACATGTTTTAATTTTGTAACTTTATCACTATAACAATATAATATTTTCCATAAATATTTGCGAATGTGTGCTAGATTAAATTCAAATATTTTTTTTCTTTTTTCACTGATGCTTGCAGCTGAATGTTGTATAGAAAGAGCTGTTTAGGCTCAAAATGTAAGGAATGCCATACGACAAAACATCCTTTTCTCATTTGAATGATACTTTGAGTTCTGAGATTCTTTCTGAGCATTTCGAAACTCTTAAGGGTTATGAAGTTACATGAATCAAAAGACACAGATTATTTAAAAAAAAAAAAAAAAAAGGAAAAGGCTCAATTACTGTAGTAACCTACCCTGTCAACTTTTGTGTGTTACTCCTAAGGAACATTGTTTGCATTGAGTTTAGACTCTGTGTTGTGTGGATGACATACTACTGAAAGCAACCGATTTGAACAAACAAGCAATATTCTACAACAGAAAATATTCTCTCTATATATACCTATCACACCTATAGAACATAAAATATTCTATATTGTGCCACATTTATAGATGAATGCTTACTTTTTCAAACCTATTATAATTGCATATAGGTATTACTCCAAATTTTAAAATCCACATAGAGTGTTACCCACTGAAATATTAGAATATTTCATTTTGTAGTAAGTCTCACTGCTAAAAAGATTCTTCTTCTAAATCCTTTGTGGTTATCAATAAGCAAAAAAAATCTTCAGCAAACTATATAGAGCAATACATACATAGACCAAGTAGGGTTAAAGTACTAAGCAACATACAATAAGGAGAAAAGTTTATCATTTCCTTGTGAGATAACTTGAATACCTAAAAGTAACTGGGTAAAAAGTGGTAAAGACTAGGACATAGTCCTGATCTGTAAAGAATTAGGATGTACTTCTGGATGTTCTCAATTATTTCTGTTTCAGAACATTTGGGAGGTGTTCAGCCTGCTGTGGTAGTAACATATATGTAAGTCCCATGATTATAAACTACTGGAAACTGCTGCAATACTGCATATACACAGACCTTTTCAAAATGAGAAAGTATGTATTTGTACCTAACCCACTACAAATTGGGAAGCTAGGGCTGATGACCCTCCCCACTCTCAAGTGAGAAAAAACTCTCTACAGCAAATTCAGACATTTGCAAAGGAAATTGCCATTTAGGCATCTGAGCCAAGGAAGAATTGCAATGATAAATCAGAATGGTTATCATGCCCATACCTATCATAAAAGCAATTTTAAAAAAATCCCAAGAAATGTTTATTGAGAGCCACTGCAGGCTGACTGACAGTCTCTCAGGTTCTGCTCCACTGATTATAAACTGTTGGTAACTGATGAAATACTGCACAGGCAGAGGCCCTTGAAGAATGAAATCGTATTTGCTCCTTGCCTGCCACAGCTACGGAAAGCTGTGCTTGTGAGATGAAACTCTAAGAAGTAGTAAAAAACATATTCACAGAGTTCCTTCACTTATGACCAATCCTAATGACGTGGGAGACCAAGCTAAGATACCAACTGTGACGTTTGCAGCTAGCAATAGTGAACTTTTATCTGCCACTGGTACTTTATCATATGAATATTAACTTTTTCCTTCCATCATTTTGACTATTTTTCCCCGTCTCTTGTCTTTCTAGGTTTTTAATGAGCAACAAGTTCTATGGAAGCTCGGCCAGAAATTGGTCCACTTTAGATTCGGTTGAGATTGTACAAGATGAAGGAAAGTTGGCTAAATTTAATGTTTCTGTCATCTCTGCTCCTGCAGAGTATTCATTTCATTGTCAGCTGGTGGGAACAAGCAATCTCTATCCTGCAAGGCTGATTCCATCCAACAATGAGGCAAAAAACTGGGATGTTTTCATTTCCAGGTTGCAAGTGAGTACACATTGCCATTTCAGAGATAATTCCAAGAACTATTAGTTGCTATTGTAGGTGCTGAACGACACACATTCATAATGCCCTTACTTTCATTTCAGCCTGAGGGAAAATGTAAAAGAAAAGCTGTTCCCCCTAGGTGAGCTATTCAATAAAGGGGTAAAAAAGACGGCAGTTGCTGAACAATAAGAACATGAAAGCACAGCTTTGAAAAACAAAAAAACTATGAAGTTGTCCATGGAAAAGAAAAACCAATAAAGCCAAATGCGCTTAATCAGGCAAAGAATGACTAAGTCCCCATGCCTGTTTAATGAATTGGGCTGCTATTGGAAACATGGGCCTCTTAGGTGGGTGGCTTCATGCTGCTTACTTTGTTTTTATTTGATTTCTTTGCACTTTGTTTACCTAGGAAAGTACAGCTTAGTGTGGTTACTGTTTTCAGTGACATAGACCGTCTGTGCTCCTACAGATAGAAACAAAGGCGGGTGCAATTAGATTTAATGGAAGGTTTGCCATGGACTTCAATCAGAGCAATACTAGGTCCCACATGGCCCAGAAGGAAAGCAGCCATTTGGGGTTTTTTGAATGAGGCATAGATTTTCTGTGTATTTAGTGCAGTAGTACAGACTACATATGTGAGGTGTAGAGGACTGCATCTTTATTATATTGAGCATGATCTTGACTTAGGAGAAACACGTCAGCATTTATATCTTAAAACCATATTGTACTAAGGGATCTCTTTGATTAGAGCAATCATGGAAATGATAGCAATAATTCCAAACTGGACGCTGTTTGTCATAGATGAGCTAACCCCATTATAACTGGGTACAAATGCTGATATAAATGTATTAATGATTTCAGTAATAAACCAAATCTCAATAGTCTGAGTCCAGATTTGAGATTTATGCTTAAACGATGGAAATCTCAAAGGAACAGCGTTGGTGCTGAGACTTATTTTCCACAAATTCCAGGATCAAGTCTCACAGTTTTTTGAGAAGGAACGTAGCAACACACACCAATGCTGTGAAAGTTCCTCCTGATGGTATTTTTTATGGAAAGGCCTGAAAATACCTGAGTCCACACAACTGTACTTTGCCTAGTCAACTCTTTGAAGTTAGACTTTGGCATCACTAGGCTATGAGAGTACACAGGCTATGAAAATATGAAGCATCCACTTACAACATATCTTTTCCTTGAGTTTCTATGTAAATTGATACTACTGCCTTCTCAGAGCTTAGAGAGAGGCCTTGCTTCATCCTTACTAGGCATCCTTTCACTGGGGTCTTGATCAAGAGTAGAAGTAGTAGGTTTCCCACCTTCCTTATTGATTTGGAGCAGCAGGTGCTTCCACTGCTCAGACAACAGAACTTCCAGTTCCTCCTGGGAAAGGGCAATGTCAATGTTATGCAATGAACCAGAAACAAGGATCCAACGCCAATCTAGCTGGTACAATTGCACTTTGCAGTGTTGGGTCCTGAAAACTGTATCACTGTAGATACGGTTAGATGGACACGGCACCTGCACAGTGAAGCCTTGCATAGCTTGTTCCCAGGCAAGGCTGAACTGATACAGCCTCTTCCTTTGGTTCTGGAGCTAGCTCAGTCACTACCGCCTAAAGAACCTCTGTGGGATGCTGTCTAGGTGTGCCCTACACTCATAGCTGTACACAGCACCAAAACTGCTCTGGTTTTGGTGGGGTTTTTTTGTTGGTTTAGTTGTCGTTGTTATAGGAATGGTTGTTCTACCATGATATCTTTTTTCCTTTTGAGAATCTCAGAATTGTCTGAAGTTAGAGGAAGCTGCCACCAAAAAAACTGCTTTTCTTTAGTATGTGTCATAATGGTTTAGAAGCACCTTTGTTCTTAAGAAAAAACTGCCAAAAACTTTAAAATCAAGATTATTAGGATTCTTTGTGGCTAAAATATTTCTAAGTTCAAAAATTAGATGTTCAGTGTACACTTAGCCATGAAAACAGAAGATTTTACTTGAAGGGTTTGTCAAAGGTCAAATGATGAGAAAACTCCATTCAAAAATATTTTTAAAATTAACAGTAAATGCAGACTACTATAACCAAGACAAATGACACTGGTCCAAACAATAAAATTAAAACTTCTGCAGTACACAGGCCTGTATCCAAAAGACTTTTACATTCATAAAAATTAGAGAATCACATGTAAGTATTTTTAACTTTCCTATATGTAGAAATGCTGCTAGGAGTCAGAATTTTATCTCCCACCTGGGATCCTACACGCCCACAGAAATGATAAAGCTTCAGAAAAGCAATAAAAGAACCCTGCATATACTTCATCTCCCACCTAAAAGTAGACATAGCATTTTAATAATGTACAATTAAAGCTTTCACCGTGAAGGTTCAATAAGCATAATCCTGCTTCAAAAAAGCCACAATAGGATTGACATAATAAAATTCAGTATTTCCGGCTCTAAATCAGAAGCGGTAAAGCCTTTCTAAACCAAATATACCTGTTAAGTGCTTCAGAGAGTTCTTGTAAATGTGGTAAGAATGGTGTATTGTTTTCCAAAATTTCAATCCTTTTTTTTTTTTAACAAAAATGACATAAATCATCACCTGCTTTCTGTTTTTATTGTAAATAAGTCTTTCAGACGACATTTTATAACTCCTATTCAGATTCTCATCTGTTGTCAAAGCAGTGGCTTAACAAGCAAAGGCTTTGGTAATCACCTGTGTTCTCTAAAACTGTGCAAACAGTTATCCAACCAACAGTAAGCTTATTTTCACTAATCCTGCTTTAATCAGAAGTCTGACTGCCTATAGTGAAAGCAGGCAGTTTTTGCAATTTAGCTGCCATGATCTGATGTGGAAAGATTCTTCTAAGAGGCCCAGAAAAGCTGAAATTGCTAAAATTGTCTTTACCTCCATAGTACCTAAATAGCTCTTCGTTCTGCGTATGATAATATTTTTATTAATCAGCATTCTCGAAGGTATAGACATTGGTCTTAACACATATATTATGTACACGTTAACTTTACGTGGCCGAGCCACGAATGAACTCAGAGTGCTTACTAGTGTAGCATGGTATGCAAGCCACAAACTAATTTCTTCAATGTTTGTATCGACACCTTTCTTAGGAAGTTCAAACTCTTATTACCACAAAGCTTTCCGTTTAGTTTATCGTAAAGCACAGAATAATCATGGAGTGAGAACATAGAAAAGTAGAAATCCACGACTTTTTGCTTCCTTGGTTATTGCCTGGTGAGGGAAGTGATTTAAATAAAATATTCCTTTTTTATTTTATTCTATAAAATTTTATAGAAAATAGCCAGTTTTAAGTCTTGATTTTTTACTGGTGGATTTATGATGTTTGATGCTTTCCTTACATACTCATTTCAAAGAATCTGTAAATACATAAGAACCCCAGTCTTCATTTTTCTTTATAAAATTATTTAAGAAAGACTCAAAATCACAGATCAGATTAATTCTTTCCTTCCTTAATTCTCTTTCACCGGTTAGATTCCCTTCCTTCTGAAGGAATCAGTGCTTATGTCATTATGTGTATGTGTGTAGAGGGGGGATTGTCTTCTCTTTCTTCATAGTTTTCTAATCCTTTGACTGGTTTTAACAAGATTTTTAGAAGGATAGTGGTCTCAAAGGCATTCAGTTTGTTGATACTTTTTGCAAAATTGGTGGCTAGGCAGAGAATAGATCCCCAAATTAGTTGTTTTTTCTAAGGAAAATAGTATGGTAGGAGCTCGGTCAGCGACAGACCTCAAGAATCCAGTCAAAGGAGAGATATTACAGATTTTTCTAACTGCTGGAAAAGCTTATATGGCTTTCATATGTTAATAGACATCACAGATCCCACACCTCAATAAATCAAGCCCTCTCTCCTGTTTTGAGTATCTGATGTCTAAGGAGGGGAAAGAAAGGTTTCACAACTGTTTTCTCCTTGAACTTTCACTAAAACTCAGCCAAAAAGGTCATCTTCATTAGATGAATTTTAAAGTAGGTTTCAGGAGTTCTGCTTGTCAAAGAGTTATTAGCTAGCAATCTCAGGGTATTTCAACAAATCTCATGATTGGTGATGGGCCTTAACTCTTATGCTTTCAAGTGCTTTGAGTTTTAAGTGGTCACTGAGCAATACTGATCACACGTCCCCTTTGTGACTTCACTTCTAAGAGTAACATAAATTTCTGAAGTGGGAAACCTACTTCTTACCAAACAAATGAATTCTGCATCTTTAATTTCCTGGGTGAAAAGGGTACCTGGAAAATTGTTATGCAGAGGATTTGGTTCTCCATCTTTTTTAATGGGCAGAGTGTGAGTGGTAATTAACAGGTGTGGTTTTTGTAATCACTACATACATCCTGAAAGTAGGGCCTATGCTCCACACTTAATTGCACTCATATTTCTACCTATCTTCATTTTCAGATTCAAGGCTTCAACATTGAAAACGACCAGTTTTCCTACGCAAGTGACTGTACAGGTTTCTTCACACCTGGAATCTGGATGGGGTTGGTAACATCTATAGTTTTACTTTGGATCCTGGCCTATGGAATCCATATGATCATGCAGCTCACAACAAACAGCAGATTTGATGATCCCAAAGGCCCGGCTCTGTCAGTTCCTCAGACAGAATAGTCATGGATTGACTTAATGCTGCTATGGCTTTTCCTGGTCTGATATTTATGATTTTTATAACCTTTCTACTTCATAATATGTGTAACCTAAAAAGATATAATGGTAGAAAGAGATAATTAGATTACATATAAAAAGGATCCTTATGCTTGGCAACAATAATAATTCTACTTGTTATTACTTTCATTTGTTAACAGCTGTCTGTGTTAAGGGTCTAAGGTGAGGCTCTAGAGGTTATTACTCTATCTAGCTATTAGAAAGACCTTTACTAACTGCCTTCAGATTAACTATTATTGGCAAAGAAAGGATATCACAACAGAGATAAATGGGGAGGATAAATAACTTATTTGATAGGAAAATATATATTGTAACTACTGGTCTCTCTAAAGGCTCTTTAGTACACATCACGTTGATGCTACATCTTAAGAAGGTTGAACTGTGTCTTGTAATTTTTTCTTTTGAGAAAACCATCCAGAAATGTACAGAACTAATAAAGTATAAGTCATTAACTAAATGGTCTTGAAAAGTTTTTTCAAAATACATCACTTTGTTCAGATGTGGTATCACAAGTGAGAGTGAGTGGATTAAGGTTTAGCTTCCCTCTAATGTTATCTTATGTCTGTGAGATTTATGTTGAGTAACGCTAACTTACATGTTTGTTTTAGCCATGAACAGCTGATGGAGTTACTAAGCAAGATAGGTCCTTGTCCAAACTGATCACAAAATTCTTTGTGGCATCATGGCAACGAATGCAACTTTTCAAGCTCATAACCTAGCATGATTCAATGTGCCAGTGCAGACAGCATCTTAACAGAGATAAGGTAATTTTCTTAGCATCCCTCCTTTTCCAGGTATCTTTGGAGTAGTTACGAAGTTTGTACAAAAAAGGGGGGAAAAAAAAATGAAGTCATTAGAAGCACTGTGCTAATGTACTGTTTTGGACTGAGCATGTTTATGGTCATCTCAATGACTCCAGAAGCCTGAAAACATTCAATGTGTGCTGCTGAATTCTTCAGCAATTAATAAAGACACTACATCTTATTGGGCAATCTGATTATGAAGTAATTTACTAAATGTTATGAAAAACTAGGAAATAGTAAAAGAGCAATGGTAAAATGGTAAAAAAATGGTAAAAATAACATTTTCATTCTTTCTTCTGTAATGTTTTGTTATGACTGTGCATGTTCTATTAGTAGTTAAAGAACAGAAGGATATCATTTTGACAAAATTACATTTGCCGCATGGGAAAAATTCTAACTCTCTGATCTTGATCCATGTCATAAGACAATGATAGAGAGGAAAGACAGAATCAACTATTTAACTAGACCAACAGTAGTTTCTACCCATCATTCCTGGATGTCACATTTTTATTATGCAGTCAGAGAGGTAAATTAAATGCTGTCTGAAGCTATTCCTCCTGAATCATTCAATCCTGACCTGGAAAACAAAAAGAAAGCTGGCATGTAACTAGCAGAGGTGACTCCTCTGCTGTAATATTTTTCCCCAAATATTTTTCAAAACATCAAAGAATGCTGGCATTTGATCTACACAAAAATCCTATGTTAGAAAGGCACATTTTCTTTGCAAAAATTAGTTGCTAGGAGAGACAACTGGACTTGTTTTATTTATTCTCCTTTCAAAGCAAGTTACTGAATGTGAGAATTGAAAATTGACAGAATAGTCATGAAACTGATAGCTAGAAGAGAGGAAGGCTTTTACAAAGGACTTAGTGTTTTAGAAGATGGCTTTCTTTTTAATTTTATCTAGATTCCAAAAAAATTTGGAACAGATTTTGTTCAACAGTGATGATATGTAATAAGAGCTTTATAAGGCCACCCAGCTCAGGATCCTGTCTCCAGCAGTGGTATGAGTGTAGTGAGCAGAGTACTTCCTGCAGATGTTCTCCCATTCTCCACCATTAAGCTCAGGGACTTCCTCAGCCAGAAGTGGTGTCTTTGTATTTAGTAACTCTGGGTATAGCTGTAGTCCATGGATTTGTCTAGCCTCCTCTTGAGCCTGTGGACTCTCCTAGAGCTCACAGTGTCCCACTGGGGGATACTTGTACCCTCTCTTCCTTGCCTGGGCTGGACTCTGGAGAAGAGGAGGAGGAAACAGTCTCATATAGGCTGTACCATGGGGAAGAGATAAGCATGTTTCAGAAGAGCTCAAATTGGAAGGCGTGTTGGAAGAAATGTTTGTTGGATTAGCTTTTCACTGATTCAGTAAAACTGAAGTCCTCTGAAAAGGGCCAGACCAAACTGTCTGCTGTGTTTGACAGCACACATTCCAGGGTGAAGGGGAAGGTCTTTTTTAAGGGAGAAAAGTTTTTTCTGTCTACTTTTTCTCACAACAATGATACCATGAATGCTTCGGCAAGTAGGGCCTGTGAGGGCCTATAGTCTGTTTCTATGGTGAGTTGGGATATCCCTGTGATGGAAAATTCAAGCCACATGTTGTAGCCCTTGATGTGGTAGGGTTATCCTTGTGAGATCTGTGCTGGGAAAGACAGTAGAAAAGGAAAGGAACTGCCTACAGCCCTAGCTATCCTGGGGACCAGGTGGACTGGACTTTGGGGACAATAGCCAGTCCCTCTTAGAAGAGGATCGACTGCTCTCCGTCCACATGTGGTGGGTTGACTTTGGCTGGCTGGCAGACACTCACAGAGGCCACCCCTGCTGCCAACACCTGGACATGGACATCCGGTACACCACCTCAGGGGACCATGTGTGCTGCTGGAGTCCCCATGCCATCTGGAACCCCTGCAGCTGCACACCACGCTGCCCTGTGGCTGGGGACAAAGACAGCTGATCACTGATTTCAGCAGGGCTGGATTCCCTTCATTTTAAATAGGGCTGGACCTCGAGGGATTCTAGCAGGATTTTGCACCTACCTGTGTTTGTTCACCTTTCTGAATAAAGTTAGAAATCTGTCAGGGGCCTTCCAGTTCTTTGTACTTCTGATTTCACAATTCATCTTAATCACAGGTATACCTGTTAAAGCATGCCTGCTTTGGGAGCTGCTCCAGCCAGAATATGAGCTCTATCTGGAAGGTGTGAGCCTTTAAGACTTCCCCCAGAGCTCATTGAAGTTATCAGAAGTACTGATTTCCATGAGTGCTAGCTCATTTCTCTACAAAGTAGAAAAAAAAATTAATAAATATGGAAGGGATGATAGGAAAGAGCATCAAGTAGAAAAGTAGAAGGCTGGGGGTTTTTTTCTTTCAAATATATAAATAAATTAAACTATCAAGAAAAGAATATCAGAAACTATCAAAATACTATGTGCACAACTTGAAAAAATCAATTTAACTGTGAAAAATCAAGATTGCAACCAGAGAAACCTCAAACCTAAACAAAAAAGTCCTAAAGACATAAATTTAGATATATCTTCACAAAATTCAGCTATGATTATTTCTTGGAGGGGAGAACTGAGATGGAGCTAGAATCTGAGCCTCCTGACAGGATACTGGTTTGCTTTGTGTCCTGGTCTGTTGGTTTCTCTGCTTGTAAAATTACTTATTTCACAAATCATGTAGAAACCCAGCAATGTCTTGTAATGAAACAAAATTACAACAGGAGTAGTCCAAAAGTAGTATTTTTATGTTGGCAGCAAAGGAAGATAAGTCACTCCATCTGTCAAGGGAAGACTTAGTGAAGTAATTGGCTCCTTCCTTCTTTCTGGGTGACTCATAAATAATTAATATGCAAATCTAAATCAGCTGAATTATTAGGCAGTGTCCAGGCATTGGAGAGCTCTGTAATTATTTCAATGTAAACTGGGCTCAAGCAGGGGAAACTAGAGATGCTAAAAACAAGGAATGACCGTGAGACGCTAACTCTAAGATAATCAGAGATGCAAGAAGCAGCCTGAATGTTGGGTACTGGTCACTGCTGGCAAAACAATAGCAGTAAGTCACAGCAGGTGGTGATGATTGTGGGGGCAAGCGTAGCAATAATCTAATCCTTACATTGAACAAGAGGATGAGCAAACCCATGCAAGGGGAGGCAGGAACTCCTTTTCCTGTTGGTGGTTTTTTCTGTTGCATTCTGTGGTGGGTTGACCTTAACCAGCTGCCAGACACCTACTCAGCTGCTCTCTCACTCCTCCTCCTTCTTCTCCTTAACAAGACAGGGGGAGAAAATAAGATAGAGAAGCTTTTGGGTCAAAATAAAGGCAGGGACACTGCTTACCGTTGTAGGCCAAAACAGACTTATGGAAGATTAATTTATTGCAACAGTTAAAATAGGTTGGCTAGTGAGAAAAAAAAAAAAAATTAAAATAATGCTTTTAATCTGCTCAAATGCCAAAAAATCTTGTGATGTCTAATATCTTCTAGTAAAGGAACCTGATCTTCATTTTGCTAATAAAGGTTCTGCTCTCAGATTAGTCCATTCCCTATCAAAACTTAATGTAAAATCAAGGAGAAAAGAGCTGTTTCTTCAGAACGCAGATTTCTAAAGGCTTAAAAATTATTGAAGTGAAGGGGGGGGGG